AGCCCGGCCGCTGGTTTCCCTTCCGCGGCGAAAGGAAGGGCGGGAGAGAGCGCCGGTTCAGGGGCTGCCCTTGACAGTTCAGGGCTGAGCTCGGTGGGCGGGGACCAGAGGTGACCGACCCACAGCATTCCAGGTAAAAGCAGCGGGCGCTCTGAGCGGCAGCCTGGCTCCTTTTCTTTCCTCCCGCAGGCCCCCCGCCCCAGGCCCCGCGAGGTGCACAAGTTGCATTTTAGGAGCTCGTCTGGGACGAGGTAGTAAAGGTTCCTCCCTCCATCACGCAGAGAGGCGGGCAGGGCCCTGGACCCTGGAGAAGGCCGGGCCGGGGGTCTTCGGGGAGATGGGGACCCCTGGGGACACTCCCTGGGCAAAGGCGGGCCCCGGAGCCCTGGGAGCAGCAATTCCGTGGCCAGAGGGCAGGTAGTGGTAAGGGCTGCAGGTGCTACAAAGTCTAGGCTGTATTTTTGCAGAACAATCCATTCCGGTGACTCTTTTCTAAAAGAATTCTATAACGTTAAGCTCTTTAGAAGAGTTGCACCTTAAGTTTGGTTCCAGAGCTTGCTTGGGGTAGGGAAGCGGTTTCATTCGGAGATGGTCTCAATCCAGGAAAGATTCACCTGTATATGAGGACACCTGTTCTCCAGACCTCTCTTTTCCCGCCCCACTTAGACCAATGCCAGGTGAGCTGCAAATCACCTGCCCACCCCCCCTCCCCGCCTCACCAAGGGCCTGGCCACTGCTGCCCTGACTGGTTGTGTTCCAAACGCAAGGTAATCTGTCTTCCCATCCTCCAGGCACTTGTCTCCCTGGGCACCTGTCCTCCCCCTGGAGGACTCTCCACATCTACTCACCCTGGAGTTCTCAGAGAAGCCTTCCCTGACCCATCCCACCACCCACAGAATGAGACTCACCTGTCTCTGTCCATTTGCAATTCACAGCCCTGTGGGATTGTATTGTCATGTTTATCTGAGGGAGGCTTGTTTACATCTGGCTCCCATTTAGAATGCGGGCTCCAGGAAGTGAAGGCCCATGTCTGGCTTGGCTGTCTGCTGGGTATTAAGTTCCTCATCCAGGATTGAAACGTGGGAGACCAAGAATACTTGGTGGTTGAATGAACACAGTAGACCCTCAAGCCCTCTAGGCACCACGCAGTTCATTTTAGAAACTTCAGTTGCTCTCTACCAAGTAAACCAAGTAAATCACAAACACTACCCATGACTTCCTAGTTACCATACCTTGCCTCCAAAGTCATCTATATCCTCTTGGAGATTTATCTATCTATCTGTCTATCTGTCTATGAAGAATAAAAGAATATACACTATATGTATATGCACATATATAATGCATAGCTTTAACAGAATATATAATTGTAACATATGTATGATTCCTTCTCCAATTTAACCAGAAAGCTTCAATGTCAGTTTCCTAACCTCCAGAGATATGGACTCCTGCCCTTTTGCTAATACAAACCTTCTGCTAGGAATCCATACTTCAGTCGTTCTATGGGTACAGGTGTCCAAGGTCTCCAAGAGTCAGACATTGCCTATCCATCTATGGCTTCTGTGATGCTTCTTCTTCTAAACTCATAGAGGATAAGCCCAACATATGCAGCCTTTACAAAAGTAAGAGCTTCTTCAGTGACACTCAATAATCCAATGTAAAAGTCAAATGCTATCCTACCCCGCCCCCCCACCTCACCAAACAGATGTCTCCTGTTCTGAGATACTTAATGAAGGCATCTACCCGCATTGCTCACATGGCACACCTATCCTCTGTGATCAGTGACTGAATCTAATAATATGTGACATCCACTGAAATTCCACATTAAACACAGTTGCACCTGTAAACGGTCCAAGCTGTTGAAAGCTCACTGCAAATGCATTCCCCCCACACTTCCTAAAAGTTGTAAATTATGCTGGCATTTTTCAAGCTGTCCCTCCATCTGGAAGCGCAGTCACATATCAGGTGTTCCGCATTCATTGTTTCGTAGGCCCTGGAGGGACAGCTCATCTAATAGATGCATCTAATACAAATTACCTACGTGCATCTCTGCCCAATAGTCTACATTACACAAGTGATTATTACTCACTATGATTCTCGCCACAGACAGAAGGAAGGCTTGGGATTCACCCTTCATTTCCGAAAAATTATTCAGAACCACAAATTTAGAAACAATAAAAATTCAGATTTCCGTATGTTTTTTATCACCCCCCCTCCCCCTCCATAGTCTAGCATTAAGCAATTTTTTCCCCAGACATTCTTTGGAAGGTGATTTTACCCCAAAATGTCATCAGTGTGGATTGATCATGTGACCTATGTTTTCAAGTGATTTCCTAAGGTCAGCTTTACTCCTATCCAAACAGGCCAAGATAGTAAAAACTCAAAATCAGTTGACTCCAAATATTTCTAGCATTCCTACTCAAAAAAAGTCAATGTATGTCTGGATGAACTTGCTATAATTTATTCAACTACATATACTGTGTGTCCTATATAAGCACACCCCCACAGGCACCTATGTGGGCGCTGCATATATGTCTATAAATTATGTAATGCTGTAAAAAGTACAAATAACACAGAGGAACTACAGATCCCTACCAGAAATTTATTCAATAATTATGTATTGAGTGCTGTTGTTTCGGGCACTGTGCTAGGCCTCAGAGATGCCTCCGTATATAATAAAAACATCCCCCTTGTCATCACAAACCCTAAGCCACTCCCTCAAAACACCGATAGTCACAGCAGGATTTTGAGCAAGTGGTTTCACTAACGGGCTTATTGTGAGAATTCAATGGCAAAAGGCATGGGATAGTGTTGTATGGGTTGCACAATGCCCTGTATTGTTAGTTAAATATTTAAAATTTGAAGGTATGCTCTCCAGTGCTCCCGTTCTGGAAAACCCACTGCCGCCTCGCCTGACCCATGCACTGAGGAGCATGATTGACATGCATGGTTTGGGGTGAAATGCCGTGTGAGTAGGAGGTTTACAGACTTATCTGAGCTAGGGAGATGAACCCTCCTTAAGTTACCACACAGAAATGTCATATTTCCTGTGAATGACAACATCAAGGGACAATGCAGGACTGTTATAGCGAAGGACCTGGGATATTGGAGAGGGGTTCCCTGAAGAAATGACCGACAGGCTGCTGAGATCCGAAGGACAATAGGAGATAAAAAAGGGTTGGGGGTGGGGGAGAGACTTAAGAAGGTGAATGACTGTTTGTTTATTAAGGTATTAGGGAAAAAAAATCATAGACACAGACAACAGTATGGTGATGACCAGAGGGAAAGCGGGAGGTGGGAGAGGGTAGAGGGGAGATAAATGGTGATGGGAGGAGACTTGACTTGGGGTGGTGAACACACAATACAATATACAGATGATGTGTTATTGAATTGTACCCCTGAGGCCTACATCATTTTATTAACCAATGTCATCCCAATAAATTCAATAAAAAAGAAGAAGATGACAATTAAAAGCATTCCAGGCAAGGAAGTCGCCTGTGCAAAGGCCCTGAGGCCGCAGGTGCCCTGAGAGAGGGGAAGGACCCAGAGCGGGACTATAGGGATACGCATGCATACACTGTCTGAGTCTTAGCTTAGGAAGTTGAATTTTACCCTCTAGGAAATGGGAAGCCGTGGAGGTTTTTTGGAAGCAGAGGAGTGGCACGATCCAATATGAAGTGGGAGGTATCACTCTGACTGCAAGGTATGTATGATTGCCCATCCGCGTAGCCACTTTGGTGAATGTGTGAAAATCAACCATGCTGCGTCAGTTATGGGTTTGGCCTTGGTCATTTCCTCCACAGCCTGGCCTGTCACTTGGAAACCAAAATAAAGAATTTCCTACCTTCTACCAATGCCCTGGTCATTTAGCACATTTTACACTCACGAAGCAGAGCTCAATGTTTTTAATGAGAGTCTGGGAAGAAAGTCTACATCCCAGGTGGATTTCTGTCGCTATCTTTCTGTTTTAACCAAAATAAAGAATTTCCTACCTTCTACCAATGCCCCAGTCATTTAGCACATTTTACACTCATGAAACAGAGCTCAATGTTTTTAATGAGCGTCTGGGTAGAAAATCTACATCCCAGGCGGATTTCTGTCGCTCCGTCGGTGGGCTATCTTTCTGTTTTCCGACATAAAACTATAAGGATCCGTTTTTCAACCGTCTGAATAATGAGTGGCACGCTGTTGTTCTATAGTTTGTTTTCATGATCCAGGTAGTCCCTGGACTGTGAGGTCATTGATGGTTTTGAGTGGGTCTCATCCCTTTATCCTCCTGCTTAACACAGTACCTAGTACTAGTAGCTGCCTAACCATTTACGAAAAAGCATTCATTCTATACCCTATACACATGACAGGGTATAGAAGGCCTGAGGGGAAGCGATTTTTAGTAATATGCGTGCACAGGGCGTTAGCGGGCAATTCAGGCACACGTGAAATACACACGGTCGCTCACCAAGTGAAATGGTAGCAACCAAATTTATAATCAAAGAAATGCCAATTGAATGATTCTGAGATAGGATTGCTCACCTCTCGGACTGGCAAAAAAATGTTGAAGGAGTGATTAGGAAAAAGGAGAATTAACAAATTCATGAGATTTTATCACGAGTCAAAACTCGGCAGGAGTACAGAGGGCGAGCGGCTCAGCGGTGCGGGCCCAGCTTTACCGTGTGCGTGGCCCTGGCCCAGCGCCTGCGTTTCTGATCATTTTATCTTCAGAAGACAATGAGGCCCGCCTGCAAAATTCACCTAGAAACAGGGTTCCTCCCAAAGCTGTTTGTGCAATAATCAAAAAGCAGCAACGTCGATGCCGTGCAGCAGGTGACGGGTCGACGCATGCATTGGATAGATACACCTCGATGTCACGTGGACTTGAGAAGCGAGGCTGCAGAATATGAACAGGAAACATGGACACCACGCAGTCGAACATATGCTCCCCTCACCCATCGTCCTGCTTTTTGAGGTTTCAGGTACCTGCGTGCAACCAATGCCTAAAAATACTAAATGGAAAATTCCAGAAATAAACAGGCCCCGAGCTCCCAGCTGCACGGCCCCTCTCGGAGCTGCGGGAAGAACTCTCGCGAGAGCTGCTCCGGGCGCGAGTTGGAGGCTCCCGCGCGCGAGTCCCCCGTCGCCATCTTGTGTCAGAGCGG